ATACACAAACACAATTACAAATGTGGACATACACAAGCTCACACGCCCAGCAAGTCATACAAATAAGCATAGCAAATAGTGAGCCGGAGAGCCGGAACAAGACTGTGCAAATATTTTGCCAGCGACAGAAACAAAGACATATTACTATCACAAGCTACCAATGTGTGTGCGTGTGTATTTGCGTATGTGTGTGTAGCCAAATTGAATTTGATTTATTGAAATTTGATATTTTCCGTGATACGAGCACTGCAAATCAAGCAAACATGAGCTGAGCCAAGACGAGTGAGAGGCGGGATGGACACTGAAACAATCAACTAAGGAAACATGATAACGGGATGCGGGGCGGGCAGCGGGCAGGAGCCAGCAAGTAAAGACAATGTCAGTGGCCTGCAGGGCACTTGGTACACATTTACCAATTGTCTTTTGTCTAACACGAAATGTATGCAAAAATGGGAAATGTGCAAAAAAAAAAAGTCAAAAGAAGTGCCGGAAAAATGTAAACGCATTATTGAAGTGGGGCTTGAGACATACAAAGATATTTTTAAGCTAAAATCGGTTTTTTATTTTTATAATATTTGAAGCCAGAATTTTTTTAGTACTTGCTTTATTTGAACTACTGTTCAATTTACTTACTGACTGACATGCCAATGCGTAAGAAAGCTCCTTGCGGAATTATAGAAAAGTTAAAGAGAACGGTTTTAAAATTAAAATTTCCCTAGCATCCGATCAGCTTTGAACTTAAAGTATCAAAGCTATTAGAAACAATTTCTTGAAGATATGTTGAAAATCGGGGCCCTAGCTGCAAACTTTTTTCAAAATGTGTACATAAAAACTTTGAAATGCTTAAATATGTATGTACGTTCTTCAATAAAAATTTTCATGAAAAAAAATAAAAACTATTTGCTTTCTATGCGATTTTCATGAATTCCGGTAAAGCTTCATGAAAAGGCTTTATTTTAAAAAGGTGTGAAGGCGATTCTGATTATTGTGTACTGTGCACATAGAATCGTCCCCTTTTATCATTTATGAAAATGAAAATTTAAAATTGTACATGTGTGAATGAAGTTTTAAGTTCATATTTATATATAAACTAGTGGACATAACCCGGCCTTGCCCGTGGCATGTATGATATAAAAAAGTATATGTATGTTCGCACAAAGCTTTGTAAATGATTTTGAAAATGAGCTTTCCGTAAACAAACAATTTTCATACAAACGTTTTCCGCCATTTTTCCACTGTTGCGAATGGAATTTCCCAAATCGCTTAATCACGTATTCATCTTAATGAAGAAAATAAGTTTTAAGCAAATCGTACACAACTTACAACTCCGACAAAAAATCTTCAAATCGCAATTCTAACGAGGAAGCTTGAATTTTGCGAAAAGTGTGAAACACGCCTCAAGTGCTTTTTTATGTAGATCTTTGGAAATTAATTTGAGGGCAAAACGTCGCACACCAAAGCATTGACCCCCTTTAAGGCCGATCGGATGGTTAACAAAAAAGTTGCATACCAACGTTTTTTAGGTAACGTTAATCAGGTAAAAAAAAAAACAGTTTTATGTTATGCAATTCAGATCTTCGCATGTTTTTTTTTTTAGTGTATAACAAAACTTATCCTTTATTCTTCAGTTAAATACTTAATTATAATAATATAGGCCAGACAGATATGAACAGGAAATCAAAAGGCAAACAGTCGCAGCAAAAGAAGGAAGTTAAGTGAAATGGTCAAGAGTTTGTTTGGAGAGAGGTCAACTGGGGTGGTGACTGGGCCGACCCAATTTGCGATGCGTTGGGCACGTGGAAGCTGAAGACAAAGTCAAAGCTAATACAATGCTGTGCTTAAGTTAGCCAAATCAAATCGAATCGAATCAAATAAATAAATGCGCTTACTGACAGCAAAAGAGCGAGCAAGACAGAGCTAAATAGATAGAGAAAGGCGAAGAGAGGCAGAGCAGAATGTGACGCCATGCTGGCAGACTGCACTCAAGCACAGCAGCTACAATATTTATTACTTTTGATTATGTTGAAAGTCAACTTTATCAATTTTACAGCAGTTAGCCAATAAACCACAACAGACAACACAGAGACAGGCAGACAGACGGACAGACGGACAGACGGAATGGCAGTGGGGCAGTCTATGAAGTATGTGGACTGGGAAATTGGGTGTTGGTCAACTAACCGCAAGGCATAACACATGCACAGAAACACAAACAGGATGTTGTGGAATGAGCTTTGTTATTTTCTCTATTTGTATGTGTACTATGTATTGCGTATAAATCCTAAATGGACAATGAATGTCAAGCGAAATAAATTAGAAATGACAATAAATGAGCAAGTGTCAAAGTCATTGGGGAAAGGAGGCCATGTGATGGGGTATGTGGCAATGAGGCATGGGCCATCGACATCGCTTCGATTTGGTTCAGCAGGTCTGTTGACAACCAACGACAGGGCAAACTGACAACGTGTCACTTTAATTGGCAGTCAAGAAGCCAGATGAGCGATGGCTCCACGACAAAACAACAACAACGACAACTACGCTTTGATGATGCAATTGCAATTCAGCTGCAACTGTGTACCTGGCCATATCCTTATATGCACGCAGGCACAGGCAGAGAATGTGTAACAGGGAAAGAATGAGAAGGGAAATGCGATAGAGATAGATAGAGAAAGAGACAACATTGCTTCTGAACTTATGCATATTTGTTGCATGTCGAGGTTTTTGTTACTGTTGCTTCATAATTTATGCAGTGATTTTTTGTACTCTTGTCTGCCTCTTGCGTAAAAACAAAACAAAACACAAGCGAAGCAATCATGTGCGGCACCAAGCACATTGAAACCATCCAATTTTAAAATGACAAAGACATTTAATAGGTTAAACTATGAATAGCATACGACAGTGAACCTAAAAGAATATCGCATTTTATACCAAATTAGATAAGTTTTGAAAAATTGTTATTAATACGTTTTCTCCAGAGATGCAAATCTCTGACACAAAAACGGCTTTACAAATGTGGAAAATGTATCGAATGTTTCTTAGTTTGTCAAATCAATTGAACATAATATTTTAAATTGACACTTTGGCTTGCAAATATGTTTTATACCACTGTGCATGCAATCAAAATGCATTCATTGCTCCATGCAGCTCTTACACTTTTGTATTTGGATCAAAAACTGCAAGGGGAAACACACACACACAAGCAAGCACAATCAAAATCAGCCACCCACACACACACAAAACCTAAAACACGTATCTGCGTTCAATTTCTGGTGATCCTGCTGTTGCTGCACTAGTCACACTGCCCGTTGCTGCTTAGATGCATATTACACCCCAACGGCCCACAATTGCCAACTGCAGAACATTTCTTTTAACCAATGAGTGCAACAGCCAACTAGAGATTACTCGGTTTTGTTTACCAATTCATTTGTCATAGACAGGGGTCCTGCCGACGGTCTTGTCGGGGGAAATATGAAGTTTTCCTGTTATGCTTATAAGGTGAGGTTGATATGGAGCTACAAGAGTCGGAATTGCGTAATTTACACTAGCCAAGGTAGAAGGACATACATTCATATATCTGACATTAAGTTAATAATATAAATTTTAGTTTAAAGTTTTCCTTTGAATACAATTGGAATATAAAAAAACAAAATGCAACATATTTTCTGCCTCTCGAATTTCGAAAGTCTCTCTTCTGTTCGGGGCTACGTAGTTTAGTTTAATTTATCTGATTTCAACAACTGTGACAATTTATATTGCCCTGGAACCAATGAGAAATCAAAGCAATTATTTTAAGCAGCTATAAATAATCGCTACCTGCAATAGCCGCAACCACGCCCATCCACCCACCGTGGGGTTAGCGTTGTGTGCCCCGTGCTGCCACTGGCCATATGCAATCGTGCGATATTTGGTGGCTTCCTCGGTCACTTTATGACTGCACTGGGACCAATAATTTATGAATGAGTTCATGAATGTCGAAGCTGATTCCTACCAGCCAGCTTATACCCAGCCCCTTGCTATGCAATCTCTGAGTAGCTCCCTTCAGATTGTCTTACATAAAACTCGTCCTCTTGAAAATCGAAAACGTCGGCTCATTTAATCTTGTGCACGTAGAAGTGTGGTCAGTAGCCGACATTAGCCCGAGGGACTTGCCAGTTACTGCTCACGAAAATTTAGTTTTTGATTATTTGGATGTCCATTAATGTGCAGCTCCCTTGAGTGATATCTATGTGTGTGTACTGGGTGTGCGTGTGTGTGGTGCTGATGGCTCTGGGCGGCGAGTGCCAGTTGATGGCTTGACCTCGTCGGCTGTCGTAAGCGTGTCCACTTTGCATAGCTCATGGCATGCGCAATCAACCTGAAGAGGTGCGAATGTGCTAAATTAGTAAAATAAATTAGATATATATGGCAAGTGAGCCGCACACCCTGGCACACTGAAATGCGGACGGGTCGCCTTTGCGGTCCAGAGACTGCCACCTAATTATATAGCTTAAGTTATTATTAGTTTCCATGATGCATGTGTGTGTAGCATGTGTGTGAGCTTTGAATTTTAATGAATTAATAAAATGAACTTCACACCCGCACGTACACACAATTAGCTTTGGGCCGTGTGCCTGGCCATAATTCATTTGGTTATTTGAACATTTTGATATCATTAATGTGCATAATTGTGCTCATTATACAGCCAACTAGTAAATTTTGCGAGTGCAATTATGTTGAATTTTCCATTCGGTTTTGGTTGGTCGAAGCTCAATGGAATGCGTATCCCAGCATTGCGATTATCACACAATAATGTTGAATTTCCATACATTTAATATCACAGCATAATGATACAAGCATTCTGCTTAATTAAACAAGCATCAGCGAATATAGGAATGTTTACTTAAAATAAATAACAATTTGTTAAAGCTCCTATGCCACAGACTCTCGTCAGAAGTCTAGATATATTAAGCAATGTCTTCAAGGATAAGAAATGTCATGTGAGAAAATTGAACCGCGATTAAAAATTAATATACTAATAACGGATTGTTTATTTCTGGTATTCTTTTATTCGAAAGCATCAAAACCTACTTAGAATCATTCAAAGCAACATTCAGCATATGTAAATGCTTGATTCTCGCATTGTTAGAGCAGTTCAGTGCGCATTTTTACCCGCTTGACAAATCCAATTCAGTTCAGAGCTTGTGTTTAACATGAAAATGTCATGTCATTGCAGCAGTATCCAGCGAATGCGAATGCGAATGCGAATGCATCCCAATGGCATCAGTTCCACATGCATTGGCTGCCAACTGCTATCAGGCAGCTCAATGAGTGTCAAATCTTGCTAACATTGCATACACATGCATAACGGTACAATATGACGCTCAAATACGTGGAGCAAAGGAATCCATTTTGAAAAATATACACATATCTAGGTATTTATGTATGTGTAACTGTATCGAGTTACATTTGTATACTCGTATGCGCTTCACTGAATTGGTGGTGGCAACGTATCGTATACGCAATGTGGGTTGCTATCTCATTGCAATCCGTAAGAGCACACGAATAATTTTGGCGCACTTCAACTCCAGCTGCACATATGCTCTATGTCTGTGCGTGTGTGTGTATGGCATGTTCCTGATTCGCATCGCCGTGCCCATTGGTAAATTGTGCGTAGCCTTTTGGCTGCAGCAGTTGCTCTTTCTACTGCTGCCAGCGCTACCATTTGAATATTTGTTTGCCTCGATGCCTTTAGCGACTGCCGATATTTTCTTTGCATCTGGGCAAATACACAAATGCAGAAATGTATTTATTTAAAAAGCACCGAGCATCCAGCAGTGAGAAAGCGCACGCAGCCCGTTTCGCAAATGCCCTGCAATTTCCACATGCCATGGCTGACACATGCCGGCTGCACGTGTACGCCCGGGCGCTCAATCATATTGCCCTGGTAACGTGCCACCAAAACAACCAGTTGCCACTTGCCATTTACAGCACGAAAAGAAAAAAATATATGAATCGAAAGAAAAAAATAGCTACGGCTGCCAAGTAGAATGCAAATAATTTCTGATGCATTTCTTGAAGTCAAGTTGGAAAACATAGGAAAAACTCTTGACTCTCTACGGTATAAATACGTATACTTTAAAAGCCGTAAATACATACATACCTCTATACTCAAAATAAATGAGTAACAGTATTAAAAATGAAATGAAAATGTTTTTGTTTGAACAGGACTTGAGTTGAATTTAAACATTTGAAAATAGCTTAAGCTAGAAATTGGAAAATATATTCTGACAGCAATGTCATAAATTCTTCTTTCTCTTTATGTGCATAAAGTTTGGAATTCTTACTCTTTTTAAATTAAAGTAGATTATAAGCCCAGTTTCTTAGAAATTTGCATCCTTCCTTAACGACTTAAAGGAACTGCAAGTTGAATTAAAAATTTTTTCATTTAAGTATATACGAATCTCAATAAAATTAAAAATTATACATTTGTTGAAGTGAGAACCTTTCTGTCCTTGCTGAGATTGCAATGAAAGTTTCTAGCCTGAAGCGTTATTGCAAACATCATCGATAACAGCATCGATTACTTGGACTATTTTTGGAGAAGCAGCAACATAGTTGCACCCGTTACCCACTGGCGATGACTGATTCTTTTTGTGGGGTTTTTGTAATATTTGCAAGTATGTATGAGGAGTATTCTGTCGTACAGAATGATAGACAAACAGGGAACGTGCTGACAAAGGATGTTCGCTCTGGACAACGACTCAGATATCGACATGGGCATGAACATGGACAGGGACATGGTCGGGCGGGGATATATGGACGTGTGTAGAGCAACTCGTTACTGTCAGTAGCTGCCAGTGTAAACACAAGTGGCCAGCCGCAAAAGGAAAGCAAGCCCAGTAAATAGCTTTGAAAGAAACCGACGGAAAGAGAGATATGAAGCGCAGCCGAGAAGGATGAAGACAGACAGAGAGAGAGAGAGAGAGAGAGTGGGTTAAGTAGGAAAAAAATGCGAGGAAGAGGTAAAAGCTAACGGTCAAAAGGCGGCGCCGGCGATTGGCGCGGAAATCAATTGTTGTTTTGACAGCGACACGGAAATTGGTTTAATGAAGCACAAATATATAAAGCGGGCTGACAAAGCTAACAAGCCGTAGGAAGGCCAAGGCAGGCAGCTAATTAGAGTGCTGTCCAGATTGAGGCTGCTGGCCGCCATCGATGCTGCCTCCTTAGCTTGTCTAGCTGTGGACGCTGATGATCAAAAGGCTGACTGATTTATGATGGCAAGCATAAAAATTAGCAGACAAGTGCTGCGCGGCTTGCGGGTGCAAGCAAGAGAAAGTAGAAAAACTTTAACGTAAATGTGAAAATTATGCATAGCAAACTAAGAAACTAAAAAACTAATTTAAAATGCAGTCAAAAGGTTTGATAATTAAGTGACTGCGCCTAAAAACGTATTCAGCCTCACTCTCGAGTACTTATAGGGCCAAAAATAAGAATTTATGGCTAACCAAATCAAAAATAATTAAAATTGTTGTAGGTAAAATTAATTAAATTGATAACAAAATTGAATTAAAATTGAACAGATCCACTTATTGGGAATAACAAGGAAAATACTAATTTTTTCAATTCAATATAACTAGCTAAAAAACGATTTCCAATCAGGTTATATCCTATGATCCGATGTAGTCAGAATCGTATTATCATATCAAAACTAAGTGAATTTCTAGCGATAATGAATTCGAGAACAGAGTACCCTAGAAGCAACTTGCAAATAGGAAAGGAAAGGTGCGCTAAGTGCAATGTCGTCCCAAAACTGTGTTCATTACTTAAACTAATTACATTTTAAATTAACATTACCCAGCCAGGGCAGTTAGACAGCGGCAAAGGTAGTAAAAAACCACATAAAGACAGACAATAAGAAGATGGGCTGTGGGGCATATAATAAAAGGGGAGTTTCTGTTCAATCGCACGCATTCAGGACACGCAGCAAGCAATGACAGTGACAACGGCAGCCTCGAACGGATGTCAGTCAGGCGGCGAGAGTCGAAATGTATTGAAGTCGTTGCGAATATGGCCGTAGGAAGGGAGTTAGCGACAGCGCCAACCGGCCAGTCCTTCTGGCCAACTAACCAGCGGGGTAATGACAGAAATTATGTAATAAAAAGTTACAATTTACGATCGCTGCTGTTGGCGGTTCTGCTGCTGCAGCTGCAGCTGTTGTAGCTGGGCAGACACGTGACCCAGACGCACAAAGGCACAGCCACAGTAGCTACAGGTGTAAGCCGAGGGGTAAGGACGAAGCGGGGACTTGTTGGGTGCCAACGTACAATGAACCGTCATAGATAAAGGACATAACAATGAAGCCAAAGCAGACGTGCGCGCCAAGTTGGTTGGCTGTTTGGGTCGGAGGTGAAGGAAAAGACAGGACGCCACGAACATTTGCACCTGCCCGGTAAAATAAGTTATAATACTAAGACAAAGGCAAATGGCAAAAGAAAGAAAACAAAGCAAAGCTAAAAACGAAAAGAAAAGGAAAAAAATGCAAAATGGCAATAAATTCAAAACTAAAACAAGCCTCAAACCAGGAGACGAACACAGAGACAGACCCGAAGGCAAAGACACCACCAGCCAAGTGGTTCTCTGGCCCAGTCAAGCGTATAAGTGGCGCAGGCAACGGGCATATGATAAACACAGTCGTAGCTGGCATTGTGGAATTGTGGAATTGGGGTAAAGCGGCAGTCGGGTAGATGGGTTTCAGTCCTAATAAAGGTGTCATGCCAGAGAAATTTCCAACAATGAGGTGGGCCACGACTGGTCGACGGTACCCGTTTGGCTGTTTTGGATCTGTGCGAGGGCGAAATGTGAAACGTGATTGCAAATTGTAACCGCCAATGGGCCGTAAATTGAAACGTGACTAAGGCAGATAATAAAATGCATAAAATCAGAGTACTGACGGCAACGACGGCATCGCTTGTTGGCCCAAACACGAGCCCAGACACACGAAATGCCACGCGGGCCTGAGGGCGCCCTTTTATATATTGTTGTTTGGTTCAAGTTGAAGTTTTTTTTTTGTTTTGGTTTTTATTTGGTGGCGACAAAGCTTTACAGTTCGTCTGGAATTTGTCATTAAGCGGATGTAAGCTGGCAGAAAATTGTTGTAAAACATATACGGCTGCATAGATAAGTGTGCAACAAATTGGTCAAAGCGTTCATAGAAAAAGGCAATTACAAACAGAGCATATTGTACAGGAAATGTTCCCATTATGACAAGCTGTGATATGCAAATATTTACTTGATATAGGCAATATATATTTTTATAAAATAGTTTGTGCTCACGCACAGCCGCAACCTTAACAGCTACGGAGCTTAAGTGTTCACTGCACTTTCCTTGGGGCCAAAGGTAAGCACAAGAACGGTTTAAACGGTGGCCATTACATATATGAAAAATAGCCACGTGGCTCTTTTGTGCCTGAGCGGCGGACTGACAAGCGAGAGGTGGTTGGTTCAACTTTAGCAACCATTGAACGCTTTTTATATTTGTTTTTTTTTACTTCTTATTATTCACAAAAAAAAAAAAATAATGAATTATTATATATATATAATTTTCTGGTTTTTCTTTCTAATGGCTCTTATGTAAGTTGAGTATGTTAAGTAGTGTACAAACATATATCTACCGAATGTAAAAGCTCGGGCTAAGATCTGGCTTAATCAAAATGCTGTAAATAAAAGGCTAGGAAATGCTAGTTTTCAGTAACCTATACGATTTTATGGTTCATAAAATGGATTGTGCTTAATGCTGTTTAATTTTTGAACGTATTTAGCAAGTCGCATAAGAAATTTGTCATGACGGAATGCCTTCCTTTTTTCTTAATATAATATTATTATCAAATATACATAACTTATTATAAAGAGGTGTACGCAAATCAAAAAGTAGATATACGTACGATATGTAGCCGAAATGGCCTGGTGGGCTACAAAATTCTAGTACTTAGATTCAATTAGGCTTTATCTCTGTAAGTTGTAATTAATGCCGGAAACCATACACTTGATCTTCTAAAAAGTAATTAACTGCTCAATGCCTGGCAAAAACTTTACATTTTGCTTTTAAATGATTTATATTGAAGGTCTAAGCAGGTCTTATGAAAGCATTGATGGTACACATCTAAGCGCTAGACATTTACCCATAATTTTGGATCTTGCTACCAGCAATTTCAACCGAATCCAGACGCAGCCCCAACTCCGACCCAGCCCAAACTGAACCCATGCCCCTACCCAAATTTCAAAACGTAGAAACCCGAAAAATGTTGCACTAAGTATCTACTTGTTATTGGCATTTGCTGGCATTTACATTTTAATACCGCCCACCGCAGGCTGGTGGCTCTTAGAGGGCAGGCCGGGACTCCTTTTGTTCTTTGCCAATTCATTTGCCGTATTCTCGTTTCATTTGCCTTTTGATTTTGCCTTGCCCGGCGTACGAGTATGTTTTGGAACTTTCTGTTTACATTGCTTGTTGCCCGCTGTTGTTTTTGCTGTTTAAATATGCCGCAGTATTTAGCATGACAACGACTTTGACAACGACAACAAGAACGTTGTGGACCCAGGACCCGAGCGCCGTACAGGACCCCACTCTTGCATTTGCCAGCCAATGGCTGGTTTGCGCAGTTCAAAGGACTTTCCCGTAACTGCCAATAACTCAGTTGGTTTTTATGCTTTTTGTGCCCACATTTTGTTGTTTGCACTCTCTTTCTCGCTCCCTCTCAGATATTATTTTCTGCTCTCTCTGGTTCGTTCGACTGTTTGCTGTTTGTTGTGCTTTGTTTGCCTGCGGCTTTTGCATGTTTTTATGGAATTAATTAAAACTTTGCTTTCTGCTCAGTTCCAGTCACCAGAAAGGACACGATCTAATGTCCCATGTTTAATTTGACCAAGCCCGAAAACTAAGCTCAAATAATGCACAAATTGGACAATCAGCAATGGACATGCCCATCTATTTAATGCTTAATATCATTAGATTGTCTTCATACAGCAAACATAAATGCTGTATGCATAAACTCTACATGTGCGCGGAGTCGCATTCAAGTTGTATATACATTCTAAGAATATTTGTGAAAAACATTCTATTTGTAAAATTAGGTTATAGACAACATAGCCAATAAAAGAAATATATATTGAAGTTATTTTAATTGAATGATTTGATTATGTCTTGCGAAATACTTGTTCGAATAATCGAGATATAAGCCA